AGCCCCCCCCCCCCCCCCCCCCCCGTCAATCCCCTTGCTAGTTTTGTTTTTCGGCCCCGGGTCAGTTCCTTTTTTTTTTCTTTGCTCAACAAGTTTTGCTGCTGGGGGGGCGGGGGAGGCGCGGGGGTTTCTCAAAAATCAGAAAGGGGACGTGATGCCGAAAGGTTTGGGAACCGCTGGTGTAGAGGTAGCTAAAGGGAGGAGTTCTTTGCCTGCCGTGAACTCACCACTAGTGAATCCATGCACTAATTCACCACTAGTGGATGTATGCACTAATTCACCACTAGAGAATTCATGCACTAATTCACCACTAGAGAATTCACGCACTGATTCACTAGTGAATTTACGCACTAATTCACCCCTAGAGAATTCATGCAATAATTCACCACTAGTAAATGCACACACTAATTTGCCACTAGTGAATTTACACACTAATTCACCACTAGAGAATTCATGCACTAATTCACCACTAGCGAATTCATGCACTAATTCACCACTAGAGAATTCATGCACTAATTCACCACTAGAGAATTCATGCACTAATTCACCACTAGAGAATTCACGCACTGATTCACTAGTGAATTTACGCACTAATTCACCCCTAGAGAATTCATGCAATAATTCACCACTAGTAAATGCACACACTAATTTGCCACTAGTGAATTTACACACTAATTCACCACTAGAGAATTCACGCACTGATTCCCTAGAGAATCCACGCACTAATTCACCCCTAGAGAATTCATGCACTAATTCACCACTAGTGACTTTATGCACTAATTCACCTCTAGGGAATTCTCACACTAATTCACCACTAGTGGATTCATGCACTAATTCACCCCCAGAGAATTCATGCACTAATTCACCACTAGTGACTTTATGCACTAATTCACCTCTAGGGAATTCTCACACTAATTCACCACTAGTGGATTCATGCACTAATTCACCCCCAGAGAATTCATGCACTAATTCACCACTAGTGAATTTATGCACTAACTCCCCACTAGAGAATTCTCGCACTAATTCACCACTAATGGATTCATGCACTAATTAATGCACTAATTCACCCCTAGAGAATTCACGCACTAACTCACCACTAGAGAATTCACGCACTAATTCACCACTAGTGAATTCACGCACTAATTCACCACTAGAGAATTCATTGTAGGCGCCCGCTCCTAAGCAGCTGAATGCCGGGGCCCTGTGAGGAGACCGCAACACACAACTCAACCGCACACACTCCCCCGTTCTCTCTCAAGCGAGCCCCTTTACTTCACTTAGGGTCCGTCGACACGGCAACGCTATTCCGAATATAACGTCGCCCGCGTCTCCGCCGCCGGCAGATTTCGAAAGTGTCGAAATCTTGTCCCACGGGTGGGCGTCTTCCCCCGACCCCTGTGACCCTCCTGGCCCGAGGAGGGCGGGGGAAGGGCGCCCCGTTTCGAAAGCCGTGCTGCCTAGAGGCGCCGTGTTGCGAAATCCCCCCACAAGCCGGGCTCAGCCTGGGGGGGGGTCACAGCTCTGGTTGGGGGTCACAGCTCCCCCCACAAGCCGGGCTCAGCCTGGGGGGGGGTCACAGCTCTGGTTGGGGGTCACAGCTCCCCCCACAAGCCGGGCTCAGCCTGGGGGGGGGTCACAGCTCTGGTTGGGGGTCACAGCTCCCCCCACAAGCCGGGCTCAGCCTGGGGGGGGGTCACAGCTCTGGTTGGGGGTCACAGCTCCCCCCACAAGCCGGGCTCAGCCTGGGGGGGGGTCACAGCTCTGGTTGGGGGTCACAGCTCCCCCCACAAGCCGGGCTCAGCCTGGGGGGGGGTCACAGCTCTGGTTGGGGGTCACAGCTCCCCCCACAAGCCGGGCTCAGCCTGGGGGGGGGTCACAGCTCTGGTTGGGGGTCACAGCTCCCCCCACAAGCCGGGCTCAGCCTGGGGGGGGGTCACAGCTCTGGTTGGGGGTCACAGCTCCCCCCACAAGCCGGGCTCAGCCTGGGGGGGGGTCACAGCTCTGGTTGGGGGTCACAGCTCCCCCCACAAGCCGGGCTCAGCCTGGGGGGGGGTCACAGCTCTGGTTGGGGGTCACAGCTCCCCCCACAAGCCGGGCTCAGCCTGGGGGGGGGTCACAGCTCTGGTTGGGGGTCACAGCTCCCCCCACAAGCCGGGCTCAGCCTGGGGGGGGGTCACAGCTCTGGTTGGGGGTCACAGCTCCCCCCACAAGCCGGGCTCAGCCTGGGGGGGGGTCACAGCTCTGGTTGGGGGTCACAGCTCCCCCCACAAGCCGGGCTCAGCCTGGGGGGGGGTCACAGCTCTGGTTGGGGGTCACAGCTCCCCCCACAAGCCGGGCTCAGCCTGGGGGGGGGTCACAGCTCTGGTTGGGGGTCACAGCTCCCCCCACAAGCCGGGCTCAGCCTGGGGGGGGGTCACAGCTCTGGTTGGGGGTCACAGCTCCCCCCACAAGCCGGGCTCAGCCTGGGGGGGGGTCACAGCTCTGGTTGGGGGTCACAGCTCCCCCCACAAGCCGGGCTCAGCCTGGGGGGGGGTCACAGCTCTGGTTGGGGGTCACAGCTCCCCCCACAAGCCGGGCTCAGCCTGGGGGGGGGTCACAGCTCTGGTTGGGGGTCACAGCTCCCCCCACAAGCCGGGCTCAGCCTGGGGGGGGGTCACAGCTCTGGTTGGGGGTCACAGCTCCCCCCACAAGCCGGGCTCAGCCTGGGGGGGGGTCACAGCTCTGGTTGGGGGTCACAGCTCCCCCCACAAGCCGGGCTCAGCCTGGGGGGGGGTCACAGCTCTGGTTGGGGGTCACAGCTCCCCCCACAAGCCGGGCTCAGCCTGGGGGGGGGTCACAGCTCTGGTTGGGGGTCACAGCTCCCCCCACAAGCCGGGCTCAGGCTGGGGGGGGCACCAGGCCGGGGGG